CAAGTTGGACTCAGATGAGGATATGGAACTAAGGGTATTATTGCTTAGGTCAGATAGTTATTGGCTGAAAGCAGAGAATACCAGAAAGATGTTTGCCTGTGCTTTATAGATTATGCAAAGGCATTCAACTGTGTGGATCATGACAAGCTATGGATAACATTGTGAAGAGCGGGTATTTCTATAACACTTAATTGTGCTGATAAGGAACCTGTACATTGATCAAGAGGCAGCCATTCGAACAGCAAAAGGGAAACTGAATGTTTTAAATTCAGAAAAGGTATTTATCAGGGTTGTATTATCTTTCATCATACTTATTGAATCTGTATACTGAGCAAATAATTTGTGAAGTAGGATTATATGAAGAAGACCATGCCATAAGGATTGGAAGAGACTCATTAACAACCTGCAATATGCAGATGATGCAACTTTGCTTGCCGAAAAGTAAAGAGGACTTAAATACTTACTGATGAAAATAATTTTATGGGGTCAGGTTTCTGAGCTAACATTGTGCAGATCGCTATGAGACTATACTAGGCAATGAAATTGGATTTCCAGCGCTCTTTTTCAGCCTAGAAACAGATGATGTCATGAAATCAAACAGATGCGGAGTAAGAGCGAATTATACAGAACTGACTGGACTGGTAATGGAAATCTACCTTCTAAATATGGGTATGTGTTTTGAAAAATTATTAGTATAATTTTTAACATTCAATTTCCCAATTAGGAAAGCCTTTAAATGACTATGATTTTGAAAACTAAACAAAACATTTTTTTTAAATGGAAGCTTGTTCTCAATGATCCCTTAGAATTCAGGAACAAATCCTTTTTTCCGAGTCTCTTTACTTTATAATGACACCATAGCTATGTGCATAGGCTCAGGAAGAACTGGTCCTGCCTTTTACTGAGATGTAATCAGAGTCTTGGTGTGGCACTGTAGGATAAGCACTGCACTGCTAACCTCATGGTCAGTGGTTCAAACCACCAGCCTCTCCCTGGAAACCCTATAAATAGTCACTATGAATTGGAAAACCAACTCGACAGAACTTAACAACAACAATCAGATAAATACATTAAAACCAATGGAATCCTGGTGTGGCGCTGTAGGATAAGTAGTGGACTGACAACTGGGTTCAAACTCACCAACTTCTCCTTAGAAACAATTGAAGGGTCACTATTAGTCGGAACAGACTCAGTGGCATTTGACAACAAGCTTGGAATATGATTATTTAAAAATAAGTCTTCTCTCATCAGATATGATGAGATCATTATTAAGGGGAAAGGTTTATAAGGTTATATATGGAGTTGTTGTTGTGAAGTGTCATTAAGTCGCTTCTGACCCATGACGACCCTGCATAGGGTTTCCAAGGAGCAGCTGGTGAGCTTGAACCGCCAACATTGTCATTCAAACCGATTTTGCAGTCTAGCACAATAACCAGCAGCGCCATACCAGGACTCCATATATGGAGTAGTAGTCACAAAACTCTCCCAAGAAACTGAACCTGAACTTGGACCTGTCTATGGCTTACAAATAGAAAGGAAGCTCATTTTCTGGATAGCCAGAAACCTTAGGAGACCTGGAGGATCCAGAGAAAAGAAATTCACCAATATTTACGGTAATGAATGACACATGGTGGTGCAGTGGGTTACACATTGGGCTGCTAACCTCAAGGCCAGCAGTTCAAATCCACCAGCCGCCCCTCAGGAAAAAGATGAGGCTGTCTGCTCCTATAAAAATTTACAGTCTCGGAAACCCCTAAGTAGCAGTTCTACTATGTTCAATAGGATTGCAATGAGTCAGAACTTACTTGATGGCAGCAAATTTGGGTTTTTTTGGTTGGTATCACTAGACTACTAATCACAAGGCCAGAAGTTCAAACCCACCAGCTGCTCCTCAGAAACCCTATACAGGGTTGCTATACATTGGAATTGACTAGATAGCATTTAACAACAAAGTAAGCAATGAAGATGATACCCACTATAGATGAATTTCTTGGGTTCTTATCTTCAGAGTAGAAGAATAGTAAAAGGATTTAATACATTTCTGTGGTGTGCTGGTAGTCATTGCTAATACTCTCCTAGATTCCTTTAAGAAACAGTTAAAAGTTAATTCTCTGGCTTCATTAACAATAACTGCTCAGCATAATATGGCTCCAGATTTCCTATCTATATACAAGAAGGTTTAAATATGCTGATCAAAACTTCTTCTGAACTTACATTAATGAATCATAACCAAATGCAATACACCCATCTTTTTGTTTCTCTGAATAATCTTTGGAAATTATTATAATAGCAAGGGAGGTTGTCAAATAAGAGCTCTGTCTAACAGACCCAAGGCTATTTGCTTGCACTCATTATTATTGATTAAGGTATTTGAAAATGTTGTAAAGATAATTAACTTGTAAAAAACTGGGAGTGATGCAAATGACTGTTGTCCTAAAATTTCAAATTGTGTTTGCTGTAAATGCAAATCGATTCTGTGTGTTATAATCCAAAAGTTACAATGTTATTGCCCTACTGTAGGTCATTAACTAATTTTACATGTGATTCAGAAATCTTACTTCAACTTTCTTTTAGTGATTAAAATTCTTCTATTTCCCCTACTCTTTGTAAAACTAGCTTTCACATCCTGCTGATTCACTTATTAATGAGTTAAGTTACTGACATACATTCATTCTAAAATTTTGACAAAGAAAAATACTGATTACAAGAAAAAAGGAGGGAAAAAAAATCAGCATTGTGTTCTCAGTCAACAGACATTCAAGGAATGGTTTTTCCTGTCTTATTATTTTCAGTATCTTCCAATTTGTTGCTGTTAAGTGCCATGGAGTTGGCTATGGCTCACAGCAACTGTGCTAGTTAAGGTTTTGTGTCAACTTGACTGGGCCAAGATTCTCACTGATTTGGTAGTTGAGATGTAGTTATTTATTCCCATAATGAGATCCAGTACAATGTAATTAATTATTATGTATTCCACTATGAGAAGCCAATCAATTGAAAGGATGTTTTCTTGGGGGTGTGGCCTGCTTTCAATATATTAGACACTCAGGCAATGCTTGCTTGCTTTCTATTGGGTCTGGATCTTGCATCTGGTTCATCCTCTGACCTCCGGTTCTTTGGATTTGAGTCAATGGCCTGCTCTCTTACCTGTCAATCCTGAGAGCCATCAGTAGCTTGCCTATTGGCCTGCCAGACCTGCCTGCCTGCTGATCTTGGTTCATCTGACCTGGATATAAACTTCTCTTTATATATGGATACATATATTATACATATATAAGTTTCATTGGTTTTGCTGCTCTAGAGAATTCAGACTAATTCAGCAACCCTGTGAAAAACAGAACAAAACACTACCTGGTCGTGGAACATCCTCACAACTGTTGCTATGCTTGAGTTTATTGCTTGAGTTCACTGAGTTAATCCGTCTCATTGAGGGGGTTTCCTCTTTTCCAAGCACAATGTCCTTCTCCCTCATGATAACATGTCCAAAGTATATGACATGAAATTTTAAATGGAAATAGACAACCCAATGACTTTTATGAGTAGGTATAGTAAGCAGTCACTCAGTGTAGTAAAAAACATGGCTGAAGGGAATATAATGCATGAGCGGGTATGTACGAGCCCATGGGCACTCAAGTGCACAAATACTATGGAGAAAAGGTAGTGAACCATTAAGGCTGTCCTTCAACCTCCTCGACATCTTGTCCTACAAGCTAATATACTGCCTAATTTCTGATGAGTCATGATTTTAGTATTTCTATCAGAGTCAGACAAGGAGCTCTGGTAGCGTAGTGGTTACAAGGTGGGCTGCTAATCTCATGGTCAGCAGTTCAAAACTACCAGTGGTTCCTCAGGAGAAAGATGAGACTTTCTGGTCTCATAAAGATTTATAGCCTCAAAATGCTATGAGTCGGAACCAACTCTATGGCACATCACCACCACTACCACCATCATACACACACACACTTCTGATAATCTTAGTAATACAAATCCATGTTTCCTTTCAGTTATAAAATAAAAGTTTGTAAGACTTGAAAGAATTCAGTAAAATTCACTACTACTTTTGTCAGGCTTTTCAATAATTTTTAAGAATCCAGTTATTTAGTTGTATTTGTTAGTTATAGAACAACTAAATAAACTATTAAGCAGATATTGTTGTTGTTGTTGTTAAGTGCCATCGAGTCAGTTCACAGTAACCCTCTATAGAGTTTCTGAGGAGCAGTTGGTAAGCTTGAACCGCTGACCTTGTGGTTCAAACCGACTTTGCGGTCCAGTGCGTTAACACACAGCTCAAAGGCCTTCAAAAAACATATAAACTTAAAACCCATTGTCGTCAAGTCCATTCCAATTTATAGTGATCCTACAGGACAGAGTGGTGTCCTTGGTGTGGCGCTGTGTGTTAATGCGCCAGACTGCAAAGCCATTTGAATTATAAGGTCGGTGGTTCAAGGTCACTGGCTGCTCCTCGGAAACCCTATACAGGGTCGCTAAGGGTCAGAACCAACTCGATGTCACTTGACAAGACAACAACAGGGCAGAGTAGACATAGCCCATAGGGTTTCCAAGGCTGAACATCTTTACAGAAGCAAACTGCCACATCTTTTTTCCTATGGAGCAGCTGGTGGATTTGAACCATAGTCCTTTCATTTAGCAGCTAAGCTCTTAGTCACTGTGCCACCAGGGCTCCCTCTCAAAATACCTATGTTGTTGTTGTTAAGTGCTATGAAGACGGTTCTGACTCATAGCGACCCTATATAGGGTTTTTGAGGAGCAGATGGTGGTTTGGACTGCTGACCTTGTGGTTCGCAGTGCAGTGCTAACCCTACAGTACCACACCTATAAATAACTAATAATAGTGATCTGGAAAGAGGAAAGACAGCAGGAGAAAATCTTAGAAAGAGACTAAGGACAGCAGTATTGGTATTGTACATGGAAATTGTACACCCCCTCCTATATCTTTAAAGTCTGACTCCAAGGCTGTTGTATGAAACAGTGAGGTTGATTACCAATCGCTCCATCTCCTGCTCCCTGAGTCTTTCCTCCCTCTGCCGCCGGTGATAATCCATCAGGTCGTCACGTCCTGAAATGGAGCTAATGCTGCTTTTTCTCTCCCGGAGAACAGGCTGGGGTGTTCCCGAAGCCTGTCTAAGGCTGTCCAAATCAGCTTCATCAAACTCTACAGAACCACAAGAGTAGTTCCTTCTGGCCGCAAACACTCTGTCCGGCTCTGAAGGAGAAAAGGAAGGAGTCGGGCTTGTCTCTGAGTATGGAGCCCGATCCAAGTCATCAGAAGCACAGGAGGATGTGGAGGTCAGGAGCATCTTCCTAGCCATGCGGGGACTGGCAGGGACACTGAGGGCAGAGCTTACGTAAGGATTGCCCTCGGATACAGAGGTTTTATAGGGTAAAGCCCCTGAGCTTAAAGAAGAAAAATTAAGATAATTGTCACTATCTACTATATTATGAGGTAGATCCTTTTCCCCCAGTTTTGTATGTTTAGAATTGCCCAGAGAGTTCCTTGGAGGCAAACTGAGAGGCATCAGTTGATTTTCTGTGGCTTTGTACAACCTGGGCAGTGACCGGCTATAAGCTCCCATGTGACTCAGACTGCTGCCTGAATACTTTCTTGTTCGCAAACTGATGTTTTCAGATGTTAGCTCCTTGTGTCGGGTTAACTTGGGTTGAAGTGCCAGGTTGTCCTGAATGTTCATTCTCCTGGTTTGCTTTGGGCTCGAAGGCATGCTTGTAGCTCCTGATCTGTTGATGGGAGAGGAGCTAGCATCACTCAGGGAAGTTCCATTCCACATGGTGAGGAGGGAGCCAGACGCCTTACGGCCTTCCAGTCCTCCCAGAAAGTAGACATTGTCATGGGATTTATTCCTTGAGCTATATTTGGAATAGGGAGGCTTCTCTGAGAGTCTCACGGACCTTTCACTGTCCCGGCCAGTACAGTGATCAAAGTCTGCTCTCCCAAGGGGATAGCCACCAAGGGTGGGTGAGGGGCTAACTAAAGGAGTGGGAGGTTTCATGGAAATATTTTTGTCAGTGCCATCACAAGAGAACTGCTTGTTTCCATGGATTTTGGTCAAGGAGGGGCTACTTCTGACATTGGTTCCCAAAGGAGAAGGGCTTCTCTTAGCAGGCATAGGCTGTGAGAGGGTTAAATAAGAGCCAGAGTAATCTCCATTGGCTTTAAATCTCAGACTGGAAGAGTATTTCTTCTGGTTTAGGCTCTCCATCGTGTTTAGGGGATCGCTACCAAGGGAATTCACTTCCAAACTTTCTTCTAAGCTACCATTTTGTAAATCCAGCCGCTTTTGCATCTGTCTGTGCTCTGCCATAAATTCGCTGGAATCTGGAAAAGAACAAATGAGAAAGTTTTATTTAATGAAAAGTTTAAAAAATAAAATAACTCACCAGTCTACATTGGATAAAGACAACTCATAAACACAGCTCTGTTTTACTAATTACTAAACTGTAATGCAAGTTGAAGAAAAATAAAAAGCAATGATCTGGAATGTATTTTCTACAAAACAGCAATAAATCAAAAGGATATCAATGACATTTTCGGGAAACAAATCCCTAATGATGTACAGGTGCAGGATTAGGTTAATACAGTAAAAAAGACAAATTTTCTCTTTAGTGTTCTAGTCCCCAGCAGACAACCTCCTTCCTGAGTTCCTAGTAAACACACCCAAGGGGATCATACAATGGTCCTTCCTTTAGGGGTCTCTGCTAGAATCATTAACCACTCAGAAACAAAGTTCTAAGGAAATAAGATTCACATTCTACCTAAGAAAGAACATTTTGTATTAGACATTGATTGATAACATGAGGGTTAGAAATGGCTCTTTTAAGAAACAGCTACGGCATACAAGGTGGAGCAACCCAGGAGGAAGGAAAGTCAGGAATAGGGAGAGGAAATGGAATGTGTGTGGCTAATCGCCTCCCTCAACAATTGCCTCTTTTGCTCTAAGACCGGAAGAACTGTGTGATGAACACTTTGATCAAAGATTCCATAGAAGAATCCTGATCAAAAGGGTGAAAACACAGAACAGCATTTCTAGAGTTACTGGAGTCATAAACCTTAAGTGAACCCGAGACCATTGTCTTGAGGTAATCTTTCAATTTTAAACCAAAAATATCCTCTGAAGTCTTCTTAAAATCAAACAATAGTTAAAATTGTTGTTGTTGTTATGTGCCGTGGAGTCGGTTCCAACTCATAGCGATCCTGTACAGGGTTTCCGAGGCTGTAAATCTTTACGGGAACAGAAACCCTCATCTTTCTCCCGCGGAACAGTTGGTAGTTTCGAACTGCTGACCTTGCGGTATGCAGCCTGATTCGTAACCACTACGCTACCAGAGCGCCTGTTAACTAGTGAAAATATCTTGAGCATTATGCTCTTTTAAGATCTATATGGGATGCAATTGACAACAGTAACTTGAAAGAGTAGATAAGAACCTTAGGGGTCAGTGAATATATGTTAACGGGGGAAGAACAACTCAGAAAAAGAGAGTGACAAAGGTTACATAATTCAAAGAATGCAATCAGTGGTATGCGTAGAAACAGCTGGACTGGTGTTTTACTGTGTATATGTTCAACAACAGCAAAATAAATACTTTTTTTAAAAAGGCTGTGGAAAGTTACCTTTTCAACAAAGAATACTTAATAAAAATCCTGCACCCATCTCAAACAGGCAGGTCATAGCAGATGAAAGGGTGTTCTCCAATTTATTGCCACATATTCTAGGTGAACCTTTAAAAGCTTGAACACGTTAGACCCGTCACATTCCCAGAACCCCCCAAATCCACCATATTGATCCAGGATACCAAACCCTCTCCACTAAGAAATACCTTTTGCTCCTATCTAAAGGAGCCCTACAGTGTAGTGAGCTGGACTGCTAACTGCAAGGTCAGATGCTTCAAGAGAGAAAGATGAGGCTTTCTGTTCCTATAAAGGTTTACAGCCTCAGAAACCCAATACAGGTTTGCTATGAATCGGAATCAACTCTGGCAGCACACCACAGCAGCGACAGCAAGCACATTCAGCCTTCAAAGTTCAGGTCAAGAACTTATCTTCCATTACTCAAATTTTTAAAAACATGCACGCAGAAGAACTTATCTAGGACTCACTCTGAACATTAACCTAAGAAACTAGTCTATAAAAGGTCTTATCATTATACAAAGTATCACTACAAATGAGAAGGCTTATGATTTGAACTGATACAGCATTTTCTTTAGATTGTCATCAAAGTGAAAGCACAATTTAAACATTTACACAGAACTTCTGTATAGCTAACACTTTCCTCTAGCCTTCAGACACCTCAGACACTAGCTGGCTTATAAAAAGGGACTTCAAAATGTTTGTAAGAAAATTTGTTGTTGTTAGGTGCCATCGAGTTGGTACCGACTCATAGCGACCTTATGCACAGCAGAATGAAACACTGCCCAATCCTGGGCCAACCTCACTACTGTTGCCACGCTTGAGTACATCGATGCTGCCACTTGGCCAGTCCATCCCATTGGGGTCTCTTCCTCTTTTTCTCTGACCCTCCACCTTACCAAAGAAGCTATGGTAGGGTAGTGGCTATGAATTGGGCTGCTAACCTCAAGGTTGGCAGCTCGAACTACCAGCTGGTTTGTGGGAGAAAAATGAGGTTTTCTGCTCATGTCTGCTCATAAAGATGTACTTAACAATAACCACCACCACTACCAAACATGATATCCTTCTCCAGTGACTGATCTCTCCTGACAACATGCCTGAAGTATGAGAGATGAAGTTTGGCCATGCTAGCCTCCAGGGAGCACTCTGACTGCACTTCCTCCAACACAGATTTGTTGGTTCTTTTGGCAGCCCATGACACTTTCAATATTCTCCTTCAACACCATAATTCAAATGCATCAATTCTTCTACTGTCTTCCTTATTAACTGTCCAGCTTTCCCATGCATATGAGGTTATTGAAAATACCATGGCTTTGGTCAGGTGCACCTTAGTCTTCAAGCTGACGTCTTTGCTCTTCAACACTTTAAAAAGGTCTTGTGCTGCAGATTTGTCTAATACAATTCGTCATTTGATTTCTTGACTGCTGCTTCCATGAGTGTTGATCGTTGATCCAAAAAGAATGAAGTCCTTGACAACTTCAATTTTTTCCTCTGTTGATAAGAATGTTGTTTATTGGTCCAGTGGTGAGGATTTTTGTTTTCTTTACATTGAGATGCAATTAACACCAAAGGCTGTGCTCTTTGATCTTCATCAGTAAACATTTTGAGTCTTCTTCTCTGTCAGCAAGCAAGGTTGTATCATCTGCATATTGCAAGTTGTTACTGAGTCTTCCTCCAATCCTGATGCCATGTTTTTCTTCATAGAACCCAGCTTGGATTATTTGTTCACCATACAGGTTGAATAAGTATGGTAAAAGAATACAACCCTATGGCACACCTTTCTTTATTTTAAACCATTTAGTGTCCCCATGTTCTATTCAAAAAACTGCCTCTTGTTCCATGCACAGATTCCTCACGAGCACAATTAAGTGTTCTGGAATACTCATATTCGCAATGTTGTCCATAGCTTGGCATGATCCACACAATCAAAAGCCTTTGTATTGTCAATAAAGCACAAGTAAACATATTTCTGGCATTCTCTGCTTTCAGCCAAGATCCATCGGACATCAGCAATGATATCCCTTGTTCCATGGCCTCGTCTGAATCCAGCTTAAACCTCTGGAAGTTCTCTGTCAATGTATACTTGCAGCCGTTTCTGTATTACCTTTAGGAAAACTTTACTTGCATGGGATATCAAAGAGATTGTCCAATGATTTCCACATTCCATTGGGTCAACTCTCTTTGGAATGGGCACAAATATGGATCTCTTTCAAACAGTCAGCCAGATAACTGTCTTCCAAATTTCTTGGCATAGATGAGTGAGTGCCTCCTGTGCCACCTCAGTTTCTTCAAAGATTTCAATTTTTATTCCATCAATTCCTGGTGCCTTGTTCTTTGCCAATTCCTTCAATGCACTTTGGACTTCATCCTTCAGTATCATCAGCTATTGATCCTATGCTACCTCTTGAAACAGTTGAACATCAACCATTTCCTTTTTTAAATTCCATTTGTCCACCAACTGTTTTGAGGAGACTTCAAAAAATTTGTTGAAAAAATTGGATCAAAACATAGTGAGTTTTTCCATGAACTTTTGAAGCCCCTTGTATACAGAGAATTGTTTATGGTTAGTATCATACATTGATACTTTGCTGGGCCACAGCTCTCAGTGGTTAAACAGTTACATAATGATGTAATGTGGCAGCTATGTAACGATGCAAACATTCCTTATGATGTGATTATATGTGATCAGCCAAATGGCTGTAAGGGGATTAGGGTGGAATGCGCACCCTTACTCAGGTCCCAACTCTGATTCACTGTAAAGGGAGTTTCTTGCATCCTCTTTTACCTTATAAGAGATTAAATGAGAGAAAAGTAAGTAGAAAGGAGAGGGACCCCAAGAAAGAAGAGCCAAGAATGGTTCATTTCCTTTGGACCGATCTGAGAAACTGCACTGAGAAATTTCTAGACCCAGGGTAAGACTGATGTCAAGATACATAGAGATCTCCCAGGAATATCAGGCCTACAGATGTTGAAAAGAGAATAGAGCCTTCCTCCAGAGACTACAGAGAGAGAAATTTTTCCCCTCGAGGTGATGCTCTGATTTCACACTCCTAACCTCCAAACTGGACTTCTGGTATAGCAACATGGAATAAAGCACTGAGCCACAAGTTTGATGATTCAAATTCATCAACTGCTCCTCGGAAACCCTATACAGGGTCGATATGAGTCAGAAATAACTTAACAGCACTTAACAACAACAACCCCAAACTGTAAGATAATAAATTTCTGTTTGTTAACGCCATCCACTTGTGATACTTCTGGTATAGCAATACTAGATAACTATGGCAATAATTGATGTCTCTGTAATTAGGCCTCAAATTTAAGTAAGGAGTGTTAGGTCTATTATTTCTATCTTATCCCCACCCTCTTCTGACTTCCTTTGCTGTTTCAGGGTGAAACTCAATCAACCCAAGTTTTTAATTTTTATCACAGCCTTCTCCATTCGCTTCTAGCTACAAATTGAAGAGTTTTCTCCAGCTTGCGCAGCCTTATAGAATTCCAATGGAAATCCATACAACAAAGTAGAATCTGCTTGCTATTATTCACTCTGTCAGGTCAAGAAACTGAGGCTGAATGCCCATCACATCTGTAGGTATAGCTATAGTCTCTCCAACAAGTTTTGCCTTGGGTTCCCCCCTCCCCTTCAAACTAAAATTTAGTCCTGATAACTAAAACCATCTCTCTTTTTAAGA